CTCGTCAATATATTTCTGTCCGCAGGCGCCGCATAATATACAGTAAACTCCTGAACAATCCAATTTATCTACCCTTTCATGTTGCGTCGGTAGACTTGTTAAGTGTTGATTTATCTTTCATGTCCACCTGAATATTCTATTTACTAGATAATGGCCGTAGTTTCTGAGTTAGTTCGCAGGAAGTTTGGCATATCCACTTTGGTGAGTCCTGCATTGTCCTTACTGTTCTTTTAGTCCCCATCGACTGCCATCGACTTTTCACGGCCTGTATGTTTCTTTTTATCACTTCGATTGGGTAGTCATTGCCGAGCAATATCCTAGTAGGATACGAATAAACCAGTACAACTTTGGGGGGCTGACAGTCAGGGAGCTGGGCAGACGGATAAGCAAGCCGTCACGGAAATTCGGCGTTATGACCAAAAAATACTAGGAATCCACTTGAGATGACGCATGCGACCAGAGATAGGCGTCCACAGTTTGCTCAGATAACATGGGTTTAATCAAGGAGAGGACCCGTGAAGGGAAGGCTTGATATTTGCAAGCATGGCAATCAGAGCTTAGGCGCTCTGCTCAGTGAAGCGGAAGTGTACGTGCTTCTAGGGCCTTGAAAAATAGCGTCTGGAGTGAAACGCACACTGAGACTGGAACCGAGTGAAATTGGTCAACCAGAAAGATAAGGAACGGATCTACGAGATAATCAAAGGATGCAGATTGGAGGCCTGCGTCGGATAGGGTCATCGAAAGAGAGGGGTCGGGGTAAATAGCAGGTGTGATGAGACTACATTAGATTTACCACAAAAATGGCACACATTTTGACGAGTGGAATGTAAACAAGTCAGAAGTTGCGGCAGTGGGATAAGAGGGTAAAGAGTAGATAGATAGGTCAGGACAGAAAGAGGAGTGATAGTGTAACCGTTTTCGGCGGAACGTTTGTCGAGGGATTGACTTTACTTGTCTCCGACGAGTTCGTAGCTTGGTGCGGAGAATGGCAACACTCGCTGATGATGCTGGCGAAATGTTTGAGAATGTACCAAGTCCACTTTCTGATGCTGGGAATCATGACAACTACTATGGCAGACGACTTCGAACTAGGTGCATTCTACTAAGTGGTCCTGACAACAAGACCAAGTTGCGACGAGGTCAACCCACTTCTATAAATTGAATAGATTATTCACAAAGTCCTGTGATGTATAAAGTGATCGCATTACATTGGAGTAAATAGCAAAAATCACTCATACTCATTGTAAAAATTCTGCGCTTGTTTGATATTGCTATGAGTACAAGATTGAAAAAGTACACGAGGCATCCTTCTTTGGTCCCGATAAAAATAGGCTAAGCTTTCGGCTAGTATATAGAGCACAATCAGTCTCTGTAAGTGTACATCAGGGTACGAAACTACGAGTCATAGTTCTGAGTAATAAGAACATAATGTAGCATCAGTCCAGGCTTAACAAGGCTTAATAGCCCATGGAAGCATGCAAATTCGATTGGATAACCCAAAACATCTGGCTGGGTTGGTGCACTTAAGAAATAGGTGAAACAAGTGTGAATGTGGCTAGTATCAGCAATGAACCCATTAATGAATTACCTAATTTGTGAGTGGCACTCCTTAACCTAATTTCTTTCTTTATGATCTAGCTTACTACCTCTACTTCTTTACATAAAATTTATTCCCAAATATTTTGATTTCGAAAGCTTTAGAATCCTATGGTTTTCGACAAGACTACTTTACGAATCCATTCTATTCGCCTTTTCAGATAAAATGAAAGGTTATATGAGATGATGAAGGACCAGTAGTTCAATTTTCCCAAAATGATATGAAAATCTACTTACAAACGAATAATAAGTAATATAATCGATTGCAATAGCAAATGTAGCGTTGCTTCATCTACGATCCCTCTACAGAAAGTGACATGGGAAAATTTCTAACCTGGCTTGAAGTTCACATCTGCCCTAAGACTCAGAGGCATCCGCGAAAATGTGGCGTAGTTCTAATGTGTTGAGATTATACGGTTCGAATCCTGCTAGGTATGCTCGTGAGACCTATGCGAGGTCGAAACTGCAGTCCACCCCGATCAGAATACCTTTTGAAAGGCTATGTGAAATTTAATGGAAGCATAAGGTATACTCATATTATTGTTGAAAAACTTAACTACCAATCTTTTATCGCCTTAAGCGAAATAGAATAAACACATCCCATAAATGATTTACTGTTAGCATCGAAACTCTACCTCAAAACAAAAAATGAAAGGTATGATAACATTAATCGATCAAGGGACTCTTTGAAATCTTTGAAAGGTTGAAAATCCTAAAGTATGTATTCATACTTAACACTTTATGATACTCGATTGCCGCTCTAAAATTCATCCTCAGGCTTGCATTGCTCCATGATTCAGAATTTTTGTAAGCATGGATACTACATAAAAAGTACTAATGTTTTTATCTGAATTTATTTGCTGATACATTACGTTTAGAGTTCTATATCTTCGTTTATATAAAGTCGCTAAGCCACATTTTTTGTCATTAGCATAAGAAAAATAAGATCTTATTAATAAAATTTTCATCAGTGTTCAAAATCAATTTAAGAGGAGCCCAATCTCTAAGTCCCTTGGAAATCTTGACCAGTGGTGACCCAGACATTCTCTGAAGAGCCAATTCCCTATTTCTATCTGTAATTGAGCATACCTGCGAGACATCATTGATCCCAGTTTTCAGTCTTTCAGTTGGGTCTTTAATTAAAGGCTAATATCAATCAATATAACGCATTTGGATGAACATCTCTCCTATAAAACCTAATCCTTCTGTACTGCCAATTGATTTACCTTTATTACCCTATAAAACAATCAGAAAAGCAAAAAATAACCAGAAAAATCTTTTAAAACAAGATTTATTTGACAAATTCTGGGCCAAGTGACTTCTATATTATTCTAATCTATATATTTAACCTATCTAATAATATAAAAAATCTAGCCAGTATAAAAAAGAATGCCTTTTTCTCCTTGACAGAGAAAAAAGCAAGAGAAATCCCATGTCATTATCTAAAGGTAAGCCAGATCTTAAATCACTTGAAATGATACTGATATTAATATATTTTAGCTTCAAATAATAAGCATATCTTTTCTTAGCCTACCAATGAAATCCTGTAACTAAGCCAACTTGGCCCGACAAGATTCACGAAAATGGTTTGTATCGATCTGATTTTTATTCTGCATAATTAATAAAAATATCAAGTACTTCACCATGGCTAAGTATTAACTAAACTAGCCTAATTAATAATGATTCTATTTCATACTAGGTTCAAGATTGCTAGATGAGCATACTTAAAGATTATCCAATCTCATGTAAATATATTAAAAAATGTAGGGCTAAAACAGTCATTATCTGATAATTATTAATTCGTAGACTTGCCTGAAATAAACCCATTCTTTTGCCATTTGAAATAAGAATGTGAAGATTTATAACAAACATGATTTCACACTCAAAACAAACTAAATTATAAAACGATCCTTCCTATATTAATACAGCATCTAAGGTATAAGTTGTGCATGTGGAAATCAGTAAATAATTAATTTGATGTTATATTGCATGGTTTAATTATTGGCAATAAAATATATATTTTTGAAAATACTATTTGAGCAAGAAAAAAAATAATTTGACATATATAGTTGAAAAGTTTATTACCTTGCAAAGTTTCTTCTACAACTTCTACGATTCGATCAATTTGTTGCACGCCAACAACACTGACATCCTAAATTTCAAAACAAACTTTATCCTAAATATCGAAAGTTACTTGCGGCAAAATTCCTTAGGTGTAACAAAATTAGATGCCAAAATATTCGATTATTAAGACAAAATAATATTTCTGTCAAGGGTGACAAATATATTTATAATCATGTGAACAAAAGTTAGATTAAAGGATTTATAAAGTTAGGCAGATAGACAGTAAGTACCTTGAGATATTCGGAGTCAGGTTTTCCTTGTGGAACACACCCAGCAACGACGACCCGCTTTTTCAACTTTTTTGCAGTGATTATTGCATTTCTAAAGTGATCTTCTGCGGGACCCTTAACGGTGCAACTATTAAGAAGCCATAGATCAGCTCCACTTTTTGCTTGTACGTCAGAGTTGGATAAATTAGACACTTCTTTGCAATGGCATAGTGAATCACAAGAATCCACAGAGCTACAGTTTTCTTCTTCCTTAGTGTGACAAGTAGGAGAGAGAGGAGTTTGTTGAGAACCACCAAGGTATGTTCTATAACCGTATGCAGCTAGTAAACCAGCCATATATTCACTATCGCTAGTGTTATGAGCACAGCCCCATGTCTGCACATATATTTTGTGGATACCTGCAAATAATAAAGATAAAAATCAACTGACAAACAGTTAATGTTAATATTTTAATGCAAAATAATACTTTGCCTGGGATATTTCCTTCAGTGTAGGATTCATCAATATGTTCCGGACGATATTTTTTCATTCTTGATAAAACACTACCAGCATAAGAAGGTACATTTAACGCAGAACGACCAAAGTCCTCAATATCCATGCTTATACTGGGAGCGTATAACGCGGTGTGAGGAATATAAATGCAGACAATAATAGCAACAAAACTAAAATATAATAAAAATACATCTATTAAAAGTATATATTAATTTTTTATGTAATTACATATAAAATAAATTTACCTAAGGCAGATTTTTTATTTAGTTAGGAATAGTATGGAATAAATAAATAATAATCATTTGGTTAGGCCCACACTCTTTTGAAAAATACATCAGGGCTCAAGTTATTAATGCATTAGAAACACAGCTTCAAGTAATGCTAATTGAACGTTCCTTAGAAATAATTTAAGCGAATATAGGTGAGGTCTAGACAGAAGTGTTTTACCACATCTAAAAAAGCTTATAAACAATAGGTAAATTATTAAAATCATATTTGGTACTTTGATATGTGGTAAATCATAGCAGTAGATATCAAAATGCACAAGAGAACGGTAAAGATCTAAAAATCTTTCCACTACAAATATTTCATGAAAATTCGTTGAAGTACCCTTGCTATTAAATAACCTAGCGGTCGGAATAAATAGGAGGAAGTCTGTAACCTAGGTTTGCGATTTATTGAGGTATTTGAAATAAGTGAATTTTAAATTATATTTGATCGGACTAAACATGTAGGAACCTATTTCTAAATAGGACAGGGCGAATATAACTCAAAGATAATGCATTTAAACATCAAAAAGAAAATGATTGAAGTGCAAGCTGGATTTTTATCTTTTTATATTGATAATTATGTTAGTTAAATCCCCTAATGAGGTTGGAGGAGGAGCCAAGCCTCTACAAAGCAATGAGTAAAAGTTGCATGTATTATTTGCTCTATAAATAAGAAGGCATGCAAGAATCAATGCATTACGCTTTTTAGAGTTTGCGCATTGGAGACAAATAACTAATGAAAAGAAAACTGTCACCACTTATTCATAGGTATACTGCTTAAGTGGATTTACTCTTTATAATTTAGTATATTGTTATGTGCGATTTAACTTCATTCATCCAACTGCTCATGAAATATAACTAAATTGATGGATCATTTCTTGCTCAATGTCGTCATTGCCCTCAATGCGGCTTAAATACTATCCAATTTGCAATGACAGTTTTTTTCATAGCCTATTTATGCATATCAGAGTAGCAGGTGCTTTTGTCTCTCTGTTATTAAGGCAACT